ATCAGAGTCGATTTTGTGTCCCGTTTCTATCGAATGCAGTGCAATCGCTGATCTGTTTTCTAGCTTCTTTAAGTTTGCAGAGGACTTTGGGACCACCTTCAGATGTTGTTTATGCTCTTTCACTCTTGTATTTATCTGTCTGGAAGTTTCTTCTACATATACGGCGTTACAGTCCCCACAATTGATCTGGTATACACAATTCTGCTGGTTTTCTTTTCCTATTTTATCCTTAACCTTTACCACTGATGAGTGTAAGGTGTTAGTTACACGAAAATACACTCTTACCTCATGATTGTTAAGCATTCGCTTTATCTCATCCGATGTTTTTGTGGCCGATAAGAAATCACCGATGTACTAACCCAATTCTTAGCAACAGGTTTTGATCTGTCCTTATCACATTTTAAATGTCTTTTTGTGAAAGCTTTGAGATAATTGTTTGATTCAAAACATATTCAGTTATCTACAACCTTGAACATTTAGTTGAAAGTAATCACCAAACATTCTGATGAAAAGTAAACTCTGTTTAAAGTGTTTAGCAAAAGTAGACTAATATTTGTAAGTTTGAGGTAAAATTTTGATCAAAGCTCATATAATTTTGTTTGTTTATTATATTTTGATGACTGTTTCATGACTAATATGATTGAACAAAGTTTTTAAAAGCAAGAGATATTTTTTTATATAAGCTATTGTTTTGTTCATTTCGATTCATTTCCCTGAAGAAGTTCGGACCAGATTGCCGAACAAAACGTTGGAATTACGCATTTCAATTTCGCTGAGATTTTACAAATTTAATTTTTAAATATGTCTACTTCTCAATCGGCCCCCAATTATTTTGAAACTATTCACTTAAATCTTGATTACAGTTCATGCTACTAATAATGATGTAGAAGTTCTTAAACTGTTAACGTATAACAAAGATGTACTATTAACACGCCCTGACTAGGGTGCAGGTGTTGTTATTACGGATCGTAAAGATTACATTAATAAAATGTCACATCTACTTTCAGACAGCAGCAAATTCTCGAAACCGAAAGAGAAAAACAAGACGGAATTAATCGAGAAGCAACTTACCAAAGCTTCAAAGAGATTGAAGAACAATCGTCTCATTCGTGAAGAATTGTACGAAAAGACTAGACCAACAGGATCTCTAATACCAAGACTTTATGGTCTACCGAAGATACACAAATCTAGCCTTTCATTCCGTCCTATCTTGGATATGTCTGGATCACCTTATCGTCCAGTAGCTGGGTGGTTATCTGAAATCCTCGAACCAATCAGGAGACAACTATCTAATCATTTCCTTCGCGACACCTTCCAATTTGTTAGATGTATACAGGATACCGATGCGTCGAATATACATTTGTTGTCTTTGAATGTAGAATCCCTATTTACGAACGTTCTACTGACAGAAAACATATGTTTTATATGCAAATATATAGAAGACAACAAACTGAATAAAGGGAGACACACTGCAGATTTGAAAGAACTACTTCTCAGATGTACATTGAATGTACAATTTACTTTCAATGAAGCAATCTACAGACAGAAGGATGATATTGCAATGGGTCCTCCTTTGGATCCTCTCCTTGCAGACTGTTTTGTGTTCAGTCTAGAAAATGATCAGCTGAAGCCTATAATCCAAAGCTTTCAAATGTATTAAAGGTATGTAGATGACACCTTTAGTATTTGCAATAGTGATTGAATTTTGAATAATATATTAAATACATTTAGTGGTTACCATCCAGCGATAAAATTTACACTCGAAATGGAGAACGAGTCTAGTATTCATTTCCTCTATGTGAACTTATCAAAGAGGACCGATGTAACTCTGAAAAGATCGATTTATCGAAGGCTGTCATGGACTGGTCAAGTGACAAATTTCTACAGCTGAGTACCCACTGGTCCAAAACGAAACCTGGTCCGGTCGCTTGCCACTAACATTCGGCGCATATGTATCCCTGATACTGTGCAGGATGAGTCAGATATTTTGAGTGAAATCGTCACAGCAAATGGATTTTGACCACGTTGTATAGACAAGAATATGCATTCAAATCCTGTGGAACGTGACTTATCAACCGTACCCAAGAAAATACTGTACATGAGCTTGAAATTCAAAGCCGACTTACCTTCCGATATCATGAAAAGTAGGGTATCACAGTCCCTGAAAAGAGCATTCCCTGCTGCATCTTTGAGAATAGTCTTTACCAGTTGACCATTACTGTTCAATAACCTGAAGGACAAGATCCTGCTGTTGACCAACTCTATGTGCGTTTATCAATTCACCTGCTAGTGCAGAGCTAGGTATATCGGTCGTTCGACTTGACTTTTGTCCAAGAGGGTGCAAGAACATTATCCTGCATGGTTACGAAAAGATGGGAGTGGAGCAATAAGAAGCGCGATCATTGAATACCTGGTCGATAATGATCACCCTGTCTCTATAGCCTCCGCCTTCAAAGTCATCTACAAGGCAGAAAGTACCCGACTGATCTGTATTGCTGAAGCTCTGGCTACCGAGGCAGAAAAGCAAGATCTCTGTGTACAGAAAAAGTTCGTCCAATCCCTCCAACTTTCATGGTCTTGATCTCTCTATGCTAAAGTATGGTAATCTCTAATCTTGTTTTGGCTCTACCAATGTTTTTCATCTTGTATATTGAATTTGTATACTCTTCCTTTATTACGTCAATTGTTACTACTACTTTTCTTTCGTTGAACTGTCCGTGGTATTATTTCACTTGTTCCAATTGTCATTATAAATCAATTCTGTTAAATTCTATGTTATCAAATTTCACGCAATATTACGTAACGATTTTATTTTATTTTATTTGTCTACTAATCTTATAATTGCACACCCTTTTTCAAGTTCTATCCATCCTATGAATTATTCTACATATGACATTAATTTGCTTTGACATTTAACTACGATTATAATCACAAACATTTTAGTTTTAATTGCATTTCATATAATTATTATTTTATGCATTCACACCTATGATTCAATTCCCTTACCGGATATACCTTCTTAAAAACATATATGATTGTACAGCTTGATTATAAATTTACTGAAAAGATTGTCTTCGCTGAATCACTTGTTTTGATTTTCTTTATAATAATACAATTGGAATTTTCCATGATTTATGATCAAATAATTTGCTTTTATTGAAATATTGAAATGATTTACTTCCTACGTTATGAGAAGGACTTTGTTATAAGCTGCTCTTGACGTGCATAGACTTATTTTTTGTCTAGGGATAATATTTATCTGGTTGTTACTCTTTTTGATGATATAATTAATTATTTGAACTCTGCCCTAGTCTTTGTAAATATGTTGAATAACAACCAGATAAAATCTGTAATCACAATGTGTTTATCTATGTTGAAATATGTATAAATAGATGAATTTATAAGTGTATTCTCGACACACTGATCTCAACTTATGTAAGCATAAATATTTTAGCAGGCATTTATTATTATTTATCATGTACTATTAATTTCGATCGTAAGAATACACTTTCTAATATACAAAAAGAAATCTGGGAAACATAAAACATGAAATGTTAAACAGTTACACTTGAATCAGATCCATCTTTTTCAATTGCTATGAATCTATTTAGACATGGAGGTTAAACTGATAAGAATCAATAATTAGATTGATCTGTAACGCCCTATCAAGCATCTTTATATTTATCATTATCCACAAATGATAACTTATGCCAGTTGTTTGATTCTCATTGTCACACATAATCAATGAAACCTTTATATATAAATATTTTACCCTTTAACAGCCAACACAACACCAACGGAGGCAATCTTAAGAAAATACACTAAGCAGCAATTCCAGATAGCAAGTTTATGCGTAAGTTCAATTAGAGTAATTCCATTATGGGTAAGTTTTATTTTGATAAAGTCTCACAGTGTTATACAGTAATATTTACTGATGACCGCGTTTCGAGCAAAACTTATTGCTCATAATCATATCAAGGTAATCACACGACTTCCTAAATTCATTTATATAGTTCCATTGTTTTTCACTTGATTTTCACTTGATTTGATTGGTAGTATTATTTTCCATATTTCGGGTATGAGTGATGAATCATTCCTATTGCATGTGTTGGGTGTAGATTCGATGAACAAGGATTCAGTAATCAACCTCTCTCTCCACCTACTTAGATTACTTTCTAGAATTTTAACCCTCTCCCACCCTATTGTGTGGTTGTGTGTTAATGCATGCATTGCAATCGCCGAGCTTTTTTCTAAATTACTTATCTTCTCTGGGTCAACCATTCTTACCTTAGCTAAATTCTTATGTTCTGACAATCTGACTACCCCTGACCTACTAGTTTGACCTATTTAGTTGACCTCACAGTCATTGCAGGGTATTTTGTAAATTATATTATTTTGTCTAATTGGGTCGACTGGGTCCTTCAACCTACAGAGCTTGTCCCTACCTGAGTGAGTTTGTAGGTTTGAATGCCACCCTAATTCCTGCTTTATTTAGAATCCTACGTAGGGTCTCAGATGTCCCCTCTTTATATGGTATATCAGTGGATGACTTATATTCTCTCTTATTTATGTTATTATTACTAGTTTCACAATTCTTTTTATTTTTCTTTTGGCGTTTTTCACTCTTCCTAATGAAAATAAAGTGAAAAACAATGGAACTATATAAATGAATTTAGGAAGTCGTGTGATTACCTTGATATGATTATGAGCAATAAATTGTGCTCGAAACGCGGTCATCAGTAAATATTACTGTATAACACTGTGAGACTTTATCAAAACAAAATTTACCCATAATGGAATTACACTCTACCACAGTGCCCAAGTTTTATTCTTGTATCAATGATTCAATTCGAGTAGTTATTCACTTGAATGTTTTACTGATATGTAAAACTGTAGATTTTATTTCTTTACTCTCTCTCTCTCTCTCAGAGAAGTGACCATGAAGGGAACGTTAAAGGTTGGTTAATGTATTTCTGAATTATCATTTATAGAATGAAATAATGAGTCCAAATTTTACTGTAAGCTGTGTGATGAAGGTATGCGTTTTTATGTACTTTAAAACTTACTTATTACTGAAATCAAGTATGTCATTTACACGTGTGTGATGACTGTGGTGTCGTTGGTCAATGCACTTATCATACAGTGAGTGTAAGAATCTTTATTAATAATAATAATTAACTGTCTTCAAATTTCTTGTAGACAATATTTTAAGGAGAAGTTTGAAAACACTCACATCATAACACTGTGTTTGTAAGTTCTCTGAAATGTAATTGTGATGTGTGTGTTTTCATATATTTAGTTGAGCCTACAAAGCATGTATACTACACAATGCTATCTATGTATGTGCGAAATTTCCATGTTACCAGTTACAGTGACAGTTTATGTTCTCCACTCCGTTTTCTTTATGAGCGATTATCAGTTAAATAGAAAATAAAAGAAAAAAACATGAAGTGTCTTGGACAAGTATTTTAGTTGCACTTTCACCAACTCCAAACGGTTGATATATATGGCCACATCAAGGATTTGACTTGAGACTCTTATTCCACAAGTCGAAAAACTTACCATTCTAACATAAGTCATCTGATGAAATAGCTCCCAGGTCAACAGTAGATATCAGTGTGTATCTTTTGACCCGCAGAACACAGTATGTTTCAGCAGTCACGATCTATCAGACGCCCAACAGGCTTAAATTTGAACGTTAATGAACCTTAGGTTAGTAAATAACTCTGCAATGACATACATCGATTTCAGGTTAGAATGGATTGTTTGTGATAGTTATTCATTTAAGCTTATTTATTTATTTTTTATTTTGATTACAGCTTGATGCCACACCGTATTTTCAGTGCAAGTATGGCATTTTCGGCAGGGATATCGGCAGCCCAAATTTTACAGGCCGACCATAGATATCGGGTGTGCGTCTGTAGGTGTTCGAACCCCGGACCATGTGCTTGGTCGGCGAGAGTCCTAACCACTGTGCTTCGAAGAAGAAATTTAAACTGATAATGAATAGCGATGACTTTAACATCTAAAGATGTACAAACCTTATTCTGAACATGCAGGTTCGGTTTTTCAACCGCTGAAATGATCTTCGATGCGCTTTGATTGAAATTGTCATGCTGAGACTACGCGGAAGTCCAGCTTTAACTGCTTATTGATGTTTCCGTGAAGGATTTAGTTTCCCTCGGACATGACATTCATGTATGTTGTCGCATAAGTTTGAAGACAGGGCTTCAGTTAAATATTGACAAGATGGAGGTGATGAAAAAAAACCAACCAGCTGACGACAACAAGCGCAGAGAACCATAAACGGGAAAATTTGACAGAGATCACTTCTTTATATTAATCTAGGAATCATCATTTCTACCAAAGATACACGGCACTGATGAGGACGTCAAAACCAGAATCAGAAAGTCAGGCCAGAAGTTCATCACCCTAAAATCAATTTGAAAATTTTCTGTACTCAGTAAAAGCGACAAAAATAGGTGAAATTTTCAAATCCAATGTTCATCTAGTGACTTTTACTATATGGGTCAGAAACTTGCATTGCGAGTCACAGAAAGCATTTCCAACAAGTTGGAGATATTTATCAATATCTGCCTCCAATGGTTTCATACTGAAATTAAGATGGCCAGTCAGAAATAATTAGCTGAAAGAAATGAGAGATTAACGCCAGTTTTTGTTATATCGATGTTAATCATGTGGATTTCAATGTAAAATGATTAAATGTTTCAATGATCTTCTTTCAGAATACTTGGTGTTGTCGCAGTATTACTCTTGATATTTGTTAAGAAAATCGGAAGCATTTTCCCACTGAATCATGCACTCTTCTTGTTTGTCGTAAGTTTATTATTCTATCAGATAAATGTGAATCAGGTTATATGCGAAACACACACTCTCGCCAGTAAAGCAGCTTGTAAAAACATAATTTTTTTATTTTCCTTCACATTCCCCAGTGGAACATAGGGCTTCAAGCTACTGGCTTGAAGTTTCCGTAGCAGTGTTTATTTTACAGGATGGGGTTGCTAGCCTCATACCCAACCTTTCCTCTTCACCAGCAATTTTTCTGGCTTAGCAAGGCAAAGGAGTGCGTCGGCCGGGGTTCGAACCCCGGACCATGTGCATATTCGGCGAGCATTCTAACCGCTATGCCACCGACGCAAAAGTAAGAATAAAATATGTACTCCTGACGAGTCGACCACATATCATTTGAGATACCAGACTTAAACAAAAGGCGAATTCATCGGGTATATAAATAATGCAGCAGTACGTTAAGGGACATCGTAAAATTCATTTTTCGTCTAGAAGGACAGAAATAATTAGGGGCAAAGTGCTTATCCACTTTACGGAATAATTTATGTTTCTTCAAATAAGCCTATATACTTAAATTTTTCTGATTACTTGACTTGTGATTGTTTTACTGACTTGGGACATTGGATATGGCGGTGGTAATGAATTAACCAATCAAGATATTTCGGATTATTTGTGGTTACTTTATTCTAGTTGAATTGCTTCTTTAGTTTAACAGTTTGAATGGAATCTATTTACATAACCGATATCTTTAATTATGAAATAAGAACGACTGAGGATATTAGATGGTTAGTGGTAATCGGCAGGAAGCCTTGCCCGACCTAGGTTCCGTGCTAGCTGGCAACCATCCTCAGTAAAGTGTATCTGCAATCTTGAAGGGACCAATGTCCCTTCTGAGACTGGAACCCGCGTCACCCAGTGAATGCTGCAGTCAAAGACGTCACCAATGAGCTATTCGGGCTAGCGATTAACCTCCTGTGTGACTGTATTGGATACTCTCATTGGACACTAGTAACAAGTGGGATGTGTATAGAACTCTGTGAGTCAGGTTTGCAGTGTGGCGATCATTCTAGGTAGCTCGCCAACACGATGTATATTGATTTGATGATATTATTGTAAAATGTACCTTTTCTCCTTCACTGTGCCTTAGGTCTTCCACATTTCTTGTTTTTTTTCCCTTGAAAACATGAATGAATGCTGATCAGTTACAGGAGATAAAAACAGACTAATTACAGAACAAATCGAGTTGCTTGTCTGCAGTTCTACCAATCACTTAAGCAACTCCATTACTGTGTCATGTTTCACACATGACACAGGAATCCATGTTGCGCACGTCGTCCTAAATTGTGATTTCAGCTAAAAAGTCATGAAATGCTCACTGCCGACCAAAGTGTCAGCCTTCATCAACTGAATAACATCGCTTGTACACACACAGACGTAATAAAAGTAGTCGTGCTATGTGGCGTCATGTCGACAAAGAACAAGCATTCCAGTCCAGTATCATCATTCCATGGGATGTACTGATAAATCAAACTTTTGATAAGAAAACTCCAGTGTTTTCAAACATTACATAAGATACATCACATTGCTAATGTGTGAGTTAAAAGGCGAAACAAAAAAGCCGATGGATTGAGTGATGTCAATACAATCCAACCAAGTCGTGACCATTAGGGTGCAGCAGGTCGGGTGTGAGGACAAATACTCGCTGAAGACATTGGCTAGTGGTAGCGCTATGTTGTGAATTGGTAGAAGTTAGAATTCATGTGCCATTGGATCGGATTCCAGTCGCTCGCCTTGTAACCAGACGGTCCTGGGTTCGAACCCCGGTTGGTGTGTTCTGCTGAAGAGTCCCAAACTAGGCTGACGAAACAGCTGTCCAGTACTCCCATGTGGTTTTCCTATGGTTCTCTAACCAATGTCAGCTCATGATGAAATCCTGTAATAAAAACTCCTCAGTGAACAAAACGTCACAGTCACATTCGCTAAAGAATACAACTATTTCATTCCTGGAGACTTCAGATAGCTAACTTGCTTTTGAAGTGATCTAAATAAAATGTTTAACTGAGTAAAAATGAGTTCATGGAAAAGGGTATAACTAGCAGTTAAGTAATAAAGTACTCATTCTCGCATCAAAATTATGGAACTAGACATAGAATATTCAGACAGTAGTAAATATGATAATGATGACAAAATTATTGGTATAGATCAAGATAATACTCACTGCCATGCTATTTGAAATAGATCCTTGTATTCAGCAGTGGTTTTAATCATATGGAACTATGACAAATATAACTATTTCACATTTATCATCGCGTAAGAGAGTGAGAACGAACACATGAGGTTTTCCAAAATGCCACCATAAATTGCTTCAAATTATTTGAATGGTCAGAGGTGTAGATGAATCCAGTAGAGCTTATAACTAACCCGCAAATAGCATTTTACAAAGAGTGGTAACTTTAACAGAAACTTGTATCAAATGGAACTTAAATTATTGACCTTATCACTATCAACCGTAATGATTAGGCAAGTATATCACCTTTAACTGATAAAGTGAAATAATTGCAAAGAACTAAATATTCGACTTGTATATGTAGGCGGTTGATTCATTTTTGAGGCTATCTTCACATATCTGGTGTATTTAGAGTAACATTTCTATGATTTTTGCATATGATTATCGTGTAGTTTTTGTCAAAGTATTGTTCGCAATGTTACATACTGAAAATGTATTCTCAAATTTTCTGTAGTGTAATATAACTACAGAAGCAATGGCATGTATTCTTATACCTTACTAACTGATTTATTAATATTTAAATAAATGCATAGGACTTCATTAATAGGCACATTACCGGTTATGACAGAAGTAAGACTGCTTTTTGCGTCAGTGGCACAGCGGTAGTATGCTCACCAACCACGCATGTCCCGGAGTTCGATTTCTCTTCGACGCATTCCTTTACCTCGCTAAACCAGCAATAAGACTAGCAAAAAGGGAAGGATGGGCATGAGTAAATTAACCACATCCCGTAAAAATAAACACCACAGCTATCGAAAATTCATGTCTCCAGCTTGAAGCCCTATGTTCCACTGGGAACGTAAGGAAATAAAAGAGATACCGTTCTATTACAAATCTATTATATTCACTACGAGTGCATACAATGAAGATTAGGCACAGTTTTGAGTGAACTGAATTCGTAAACAAAAGAAAATTGGTCACTGCAAACAAATCCCAAGTTTCCTGGATTACAGATAATCAACTTTGAAATACGCTACACACTCTGACTAACTTCTGACTCGTTTGCATCTTTTTTTTAACATCAGTATTAGTCATTATACATCACCCATAATGCTATCATTTAAGTTAAATTTATGTACATTACAGGTGTTATCTTGGTCTTCAGGACTAGCTGCTACATCAGAATTACTTAAATGGTCGAGTCTTTGGGCATTTCTGATTGCAATATTCCTAGCTGCGTTGTTGGTGTTGGTTGGATACAAGTTAAAAATGCTTAGTGACATAGTAAAGATGATTATTATGCTTTGTGCAGCTGCCTTTATCCTAGCGGCTTCCATATTATCTATGGTTATAGTACATATGAAAGAGAAAGTAAGTAGTGTATGGATTGAATTGATTTTACTATTTTCGCAATTTAGAACATGCAGATCATTCGTTATCCTTTTTGGCTACAGGTGGGAATTTTACATGCATACTTACCTAAATGTGATATATAGATCATTGGGAAGGAATATTTGCTTATGAGGAACATAGGGCTTCAGCTGCACGTCTCCATTGAGTTCGGTTCTCTGCCAACCTTTTCACCTGGCTCAACGTCTGACCACATGCTATCATCTCCTCTTCACATGACCTCCTCCATGTCACTGTCACACTGACCACTAACTCACCGCTTCTCATTCGAGTTCCACTCGAGCGATAGCCTGACGTGTGATGCCACTTGATGGTCTGCTTTCTCAGAGTATGGTCAATCCACCTCCATTTCTTCCTGCATATTTGTTGCGCAACTTGTTCCTACTGAGTTGGCTCGCACATTGCCAGAGATCCCTGTTGCTGGTGTTTTCTAACCATCTAATCTTGAGTATTGAGCGAAGACAGACGTTCAAATGTATGAACAAATTCAAGGGACACCTATGGGATCACCCATATCAGGATTGATTGCGGAAGCCGTCATGCAAAGACTGGAAAACATAATTCTGCCAAAGATCAAACCAAAAATTTGGATACGCTACATAGATGATACATTCGTGATAATCAAAAGAGAAAACTTAGACAATACCCACAACATAATAAACAACACCTTCAACGACATCAAATTCACAAGAGAAGAAGAATATGAAAACAAAATCCCATTTTTAGACGTCTTAATCAAACGAACAACTACAGGAAAATTAGAAACCCAAGTATACAGAAAACCAACGCACACGGATCAAATACTCAATTACAACAGTAACAACCCAACATCACACAAAATTAGCTGCATACGTACATTGTTCAAGAGAGCCAGGACTCATTGCAGCACTCCCGCCTTGAGGAAAATTGAAGAAAATCATCTTATGGACGTCTTCCAAAGAAATGGATACCCACGAAACTTCATCAAAAGGCATCTGCCCCCAGCTCAACCAACCAAATCAAAAGCCACCAGCGAAAACACAAAGAAAGTCGTCCTACCATATATAAAAGATATCTCCGAAATCACTGCAAGACTATTCAAACCTTTTGGAATCGATGTCGCTCATAAACCAACAAAGTCACTACACTCAGTTCTATGTAAACCAAAGGACTCAACGGCAAAAGAAGACAAAACTAACGTCATCTACAAGATAAGTTGCAACGACTGCGACAAACATTACGTTGGTCAAAGTGGACGCCCTCTTCGTCTTCGCATTCACGAACACAAACTAGCTGTCAAAAGACACGACATACACTCCCTCATATCACTACATGCAGACAACCACGGACACCAATTCGACTGGGACAATGTTCAGATCTTAGACAAAGGGAACTGCGAAAATGCCAGAGAATTCCTAGAGGCCTGGTATTCAAATGAATCAGCAATCAATAGGCACATAGAGATTGACAAAATATACCAATCCATACGAAGAAATTCACACAAAAACAAAGTCAAACTTCAGGTCAAGGAAACAGTCAACACCAAAACAAGTGAACTAGAAAGTGAGAAGTCACACAAAAACAACCAATCACGTTCAAGGCTAGCAGAAGGAATGACTAACGACATTCAGACCAAAGAAGCAGCCAGCACCGAGACAAGCAAACTAGGGGGTGAAATGTCACACGAAAACAACCAATCACGTTCAAGGTTACTAGAAGAGATGACTAATAAACTCATAGAGAATTCTAAAAGCTCACTTCACATCGAAGTATGCGCTGAAGATGTTGCTCAGTAGAGCAATGAAAGCTTCGCAACCAAACCATCCAGCTCAGAGAACACAACCACACCAAAAAATGATTCATTTCATTTTCATGCTGAGTGCTGTTGAGCTCCATACAGACTTGAGAGTAATGAAAGCTTGTCTTGCTTTTCCGATCCTTGCTTTGATATCCTCGTCAGTTCCGCCTGTAGTTGAAACGATGCTTTCCAGGTAGGTAGGTAAAGGAGGTTGTTTCTTTCAGGTTCCTCCCATTTATGCTAATTGTCGTCTTGTTGTTGATGTTGTTGGTGTTGGCCACGAATCTTCATCACCTCTGTCTTCCCTATGTTCACCTGAAGGTCTGTCTTTGATGCTTCTTCCAGCTTGTTGCTTTTCACTTGCGTATCTTCTAGTTTTTGGGAAATCAGACATATATCATCGGCGAAGTTCAGATCCTCCAAGTATTTTGTGTGTGTCCATTTTATGTCTGTCTCCTTGTTGACCGGTCCGCTGTCTGTTGCATTATCCAGTCTAACACAATCAGGAAAATCATTGGAGATGGTAGGTAGCCAGCCTTGTCTTACTCCTGTTTTCACTCCGAAGGATTCCGTAAGTTTCCTGTTGTGGATTACTTGGCATGCAGCATTGTCATACAACTGATGGATGAGATGTATAATTGTTGGCGGCACCCCGTATTAGCGAAGTAGTTGCCAAATCACCTCTGGATTGACGCTGTCGAATGACTTTTCAAAGTCAATGAAGTTGAGGTAGAGAGCTGACTGCTATTCCAAGCTCCACTCAATGATGATCGGTAGTGTTGCATGACTTGTTTCTCCTGAATCCAGCCTGTTTCGGTCGGAGTTTTCCACTCAGGGCGTATTTGATTCTCTCCAGGATGATGCGACTTGGTTTTTTGCTTGTGATAGACAGGAGCATAATTCCTCGCTAGTTCTTGCATTGACCTCAGTCCCTTTCCTTTAGCAGTTTGAGTAAGTAGCCTTTCTTCCAGTACGCAGGTACCTTGCCCTCTTTCCATACCATCTTCAGTAGTGGTGTCATTAGGTTCGTTTATGTCTCTGGGTCAATTTCCAATGCTTCTGCTGGGATTCCTTCTGGTTATGCTGCTTTTACAGCTTTTAGCATTTTGGTTGCCTTCAGGATTTCTGATTCCGTCGACGGGTTGATGTTCACTGGTAGTTCTGCTTCCGCTGTTGGTATTAATGGGCGCGTTATAGGTGGTGGTCGATTTAGAAGTCTTTTGAAGTGTTCAGCTCAGTGTTTCCCTTGCTCCACCTCTTTGGTGATTGACTTTCCATTGTCGTACTTCAATGGCTTAATTTGTGTTGAACTTTTCCCTGTTATGAATCTAGTTGTTTGGTAGTGTTGCGAGGTCTCCTTTGCCTGCAGCTTTTTCTGCTTTGCTTGACATAGTCTCATAATATTTCTTTTGTCTTCTCTAACACTCTTCTTTACTCTTTTGTTCATTGTATTGTAGCTCATATTCAACTCCTGTCTCTGTTTCTGATCCATGCACTGGAAAATCTTTCGTTTCAACATCCTTCTCTCTTCTATTAGTCTCCATGTGTCTGTAGTGAGCCACTGTTTGTCCTGTCTCTTCTTTCTGCCTAGGACTTATATGCACTTGTAACTCCATACCACTTTCAGGATGTTCCAGTGTTTTTCAGAACATATTTTCGCTAGTGTTGATTTGTGTCTCCGCCCTTTTCCTTATGTTTGCAGTAAAGATATCCTTTGTATCCTGACTCTTCAGTTTCTGAGTATTGAACTTGGATTGTGGTCTATTTGCAGCTCTTGTTCCCTTGAAAGCTTTTAATTTGATTTGAAGTGTTCCTTGTACTAGATAATGATCCGAGCTGACGTCGGCTCCTCTTATTACTTTTGTGCCCAGTAAGCTGCGTCTTCAATTAATCGTTCAGCATTGAGATGAAGTCAATTTAGCTTTTGGTTCGCCCGTCTTGTGACACCTATGTAGCCTTGTGGATATCTTTGTGCTTGTATACACTACCACCAATCACTAGTTCTCTGAAGGCTTAGAAGTAAGTGAAGATTCCTCCTTTTTCATTCATCTATCGAAGAGCTTCTCTACCTATGATGAATTCTCTTCCTGTGTTGTCTGGTCCCAGTTTGGCGTTCATATCTCCTATTAGTATTTTAATGTCACCGACTGGAGTAGTGTCTATTGTTGCCTGTAGTTGTTTGTACAACTCCTTGTTCTTTCCGAGGTCCGTGTTGTTTTTGGGTGCAACATTGTATAACTGTAACTTTCCTTCCTTTTGAGTTGAATCTGGCGGTCATTATCCTAGGCGAGATTATCTCCTATTGTATCAGGGCCTTCGTTACCGTTGGGGACATCATGATAGCCACACTCTTGGTGTGCTCGTGGTTGTCCTCTGGGTGACCGGAGTAGATCACTGACTCTCCCGTTGACCATTTGGTGAGTCCACTCCCATTCCATCTGATTTCGCATATTCTCAGTACTTGAATAGCATGTCTTTTCATCTCGTTTGCAATCTGAGCAGCTTCACCAGTCTCAAACATGGTGCGGACGTTCCATGACCCAACATAGACTTTTTCTATTGTTGCAAGAAGACTCATCGTGCTGAAGTTTTTGTAGAAACTTTGTTCACAAGGTGGGGTCGCTAGCCTCACGCCTGAGAAAGGGGTTGTTACATTAAAATATAGTTTATAGAGGAGCGACTTTTTAAAATTGCTCCCCTTAGAATCAGGAAAACAAGGAATACAGCAATCAGAACAACATCAGCAAAAGGAAAATAATTCACAACAGGAAGGGCAGCGACAACAACAACAAAAGAACCCATAGGAGTAGTATCACTGTCAAATACAGTTAACAAAAATGATATCAAAACCATAGAATCACTGACTTGGGTCAACGTGAGTGTGTTAATCCATCAGTATATACAATTATAGATATTAGATAGTGTTAAACAGTCACAGTATGCCAAACAGATAGTTATAAGTCAACAAGCTTTTGTCTACAGGTTTATTGTTCGAAAATAAAATGATTACAATAAATCTGACAACTTCCTAGCCAAACACGCCAGACAAAAAAGAGTTTTATGTAACTGAGCACATGTAGCGTACTAACCGAAAAGCGCATCAAGGTCACTTGCTTATGAGTGTTAACTGTAAACTAAGTTTTATCATCGAAATTTCTCTCATCACGTGACTTCATTAGTAACCTTGATGCAACAGCGAAACAGTATGTTTCACGATCATTTCAGTTAATTAATTAATTACACGCATATCGGGTTCTTACTGATGATACATTTCGATTGGTTCATTTTGCAGTATGAGGCTGTTGATTGCGATCTCCTGTGAATCGGTGTTACGTGGTTGGAGACAGTTCGCAAACAAGCCAACTTATATCTTCTGGCAACCACAAATCACTCTAGATGAAAAACTCTCCTCACAACAGGCTGAATTCCTGAGGAACAAATGTTGCACAGATGTATATGGTGCATTACGCACCATCACTCAATAGAATTTAGAATGGCATCCAACCATGTACCTCAGATTTATCGGCTTTAATTGGGCCATCGAAAGCGCCGACTGCAAACTAATTAGGAAACTGCTTTAACATTAAAAGAAGTAAGACACAGCTGCTTGCAATCAAAAGTGATCTTCCTAGCCATGGCAGAATGTGTCACGTGACAGATTGCAGGGAGCGACAAGATGAGAATACGTTGGACTGGATATTTGAGCCTCACCGATGATTTTTCTTTGGTCTATCGCAAAGTTAAAGATTACAAAGCAAAAATCGACAATCTGGTGTAAAAGTTAAAGAAGAACTTCAGATGAACATAGCGAAATCAGAGATGTGTGACTTGCCCAACTAAACAACAGAAGCAACAATCACCACCAAATAGAGAATTCAAAAGGAAACAGTCTTCTTCACTAACCATCTGAGTGGCATTGTTTCAACCACCGGCGACACGCATGTCAAAGGAAGGATACGCTAGACGAAGCAAGACATTTATTCACTACTCCGAAGTCAATGTGAAGATCTTCAGTGTTCAGTACAACAAACAAAGTGCAAATTTTCAACACCATTGCCAAATCAGTGATTACACATGTTTGGAGACGTGGAGCAACATGGAAAACATTTTAAACAGGCTTCTACATAATTTCGCCAGTAGCTTTCTCCACTGGCTCGATAATGAAAATCAGATGGCCAGAAACAATAGCTCATATGGAGTTCTTGCAGCAAACCAGAGAATACGTACAAAGAAGTGGAAATGGATTGGACATATGCGCTGAGGCGACCACTGCCTGATATCACATGTAAGGATGTCGTCAGCTGAAACCCAAAATAAAAAGGAATGGGTTGGACACTGGAAAATGATATCCAGGGGATCTAGTGATGAAGAAAAAATGAGAGCTTGTAGACACTTGTAGAATCATTTGAAAAAGACAGCAAAAAGTAATAGAGTAAAATCGAGGTGTGCTACTAAGTGATGAGTGAAAATAACAAACTAAGAAAGTAGCGATTTTTTCAAATGTTTAACGCATATATACTGATCTTCATATTGTATATATATATATGTATATATGTGCAGTATAAATCCATAAGTTAAATCAGTGTGAAATGGGAATCTCATGGTTTACTATTTTCATTTGATAGGATCAAGAACATCTGAAAGATGCCCCATGTTTGCTTTTTATAATCGGTTTATTATTGGTAAGCCATATAATCAAATTTCAGTAAATTCATGAAGACAGTAATTATTTGAAATATATGAATATTTTCATTAGATGAAGGAAATACATTATTGTCACAAAACAAGAAGGCTATTAGTTGTATTTTTATTATTATTTAAATTTAATGTCAGCGGTAAAATTATGAATGCACAAATACGCCTACTTCTTGTTGTAGGTGATGACATGAAGTTCTTCGCTGAACGTTACCGATGTTGTTTAAAATGAATTCATCGTAATGTAGCCAGTTCTATTAACAACATATCTTGATTCTCAGCAGTGAGTATTATTGTACTATCACCAATGTGGTTTCTTTCTCACATTCGAGTTGGATTAAGAACGACAACGTGAGATGCAATGGTGGGGTGAAACCCACCGGTGACTTGGGGGCGGTGAGGTCTCATTACTTAAAGAATCTGTTTAACAGAGTTACTCGACTTTGCCGTTTTAGATTCAACATTGGATGATCGGGTATTTCTATTATCTGGCGTTCAAATGTTTTCATATTTCTACCAGCCGACGTAGCTAAGACATCAGTGGAGACTACTGGTAGTTTCACGAGAACTGTCCAGGCCAGTTGAGGCAATACATATAAGAAAAACCATCTGACGAGTCCCTCATAGAATAAGCATATCATTTGAATTTAAGCATGCTTCAGAGCCCATAGAGAGTAGAAGTGTTCCCTAAAGTTAGCTAGGGCTTTATCATTCCAATAGATTGTTTCTTTTTAGGATAGTAGCCTCAGACAACTGCTAAGAAATACTTACTTGTGAAGGCAGAACTTGTTTAATTCTCTCCTCAGAGCGCATTCAACAGCTATGGACTGTGAACGTGGATCAGTTATATCATATCAAGTGAAAGTCAGTTTCAGTGTTCAGAAACCATGTTTCTGCATTGTCTGGTCAGAAAGGGACTAGCTGAAACCAGTGGCCTTTACTAGTCGCGTAAGAGGGTTCATGGTGTTGCGAAATTTCATGTCAAAGGCTTAAGCAATATTCATTAAACTTTTGTCTACTGAATTTCCAAGACAAGTGGCATTTGTTCAAGGGATCCACGTTAGCTCAAGATCGAAATATCTATAACTGAAATTTCGGAAAATTGCGTATAGTATACTCTCCATATATATATATGTCTCTGGAAAGTAAGTAACTGCCTTTCTTTCTCGTAAACTTTTCATTTTGGCTTACAATGATTCTAAGCAATATGATACTGATATACACTTATGTGAATTTGTCCCCAAATGGACATCCATAACATTCCTCTTGTTGACACAAATTCACATTGCATCACTTCATTTTATTTTTGTGCTTTCTAGGTGCTACTTCTAGTTGGACAGTATTTAAAGCAATGCAAAGTGAAACAGTTAAGCAGCAGCATTTATCCACTTTGGTTAGCTCTAATAACTTGGTTCGCGTTGGTTCTACTTTATATGTCTATACATGTTATGCTCATATAACTCAATGCATATTTGTTCCCTCCCCAGAAACTGTAATGTGTGTGGACTATCTATCTGTGTTCTCAATGGTATTGTTATTATTATAAGAGTGAATTTCATGTGAAATATATATTTCTAAATCACATGTATCTACACTATTCAATATATATATATATATATATATATATATAGAAATGAAAGGGTTTCATTAGATTGTTAGTTATTTAAATACTATTGACAGCGAATATTTTGGTAGATTTCAATATTGATAGTTGTTGACAATATCCAAGTCTAAATAACCTTTTGTTTCTAGCCGTTATCATGACCTATATTAAGCCAAAATATCTGACAATTTGAATGTCAATGTTACTCGACAACAGACGAATGTAGATAGTATCACTTCCATTGAGAGTTGATCTTATCAGATGACTTCTTATCCCACAGGGAAATTCCTTTCAATAGACAGTATTTTGAGGCCTACTGTGGCATGTGCTAATGACAGGAATAATCAGCAGTATATAGACGCAGATTGATAGAAAGAAGGCAAACCTGAAGGCAACATTTTAAGTCAGTAGATGCATAAATAGAAGCATTTCCTCCTCATATCTGGATCAAGCTAACGCTGTGGTCAGGAAATAATTATCAAGGTTTAACTTACTGAAAATCAAGGTCTAATCAGGAGTTCTAACTTTCAGAAAATCAACAACCCGCCTTAGTAAAAACAGTCCGTTGCCACGTCTCTTCTCTTCTCCCATTACATTACAATCTCACTGATGCAAGTGTAGGAGGATAAAACATGCAACAGAGGGTTAGCATCAGCTTCAGAATACACCACATGATCTCTAGTAAGCCGTGAGAAACAAATTTGTGAAGATTGCTAACTTGTCCTACATCGAAAAAATGGATTTTCTCAATCTTCTCTGAAGATATTTTTCCCCTTCATTCAGCTTTATGATTTGCGGTAGAACTTCGTTCTTGGTAATCCTAATTGTAAAGTTGTAGAATGAAATGTCTTTGCGACATAAAGATTTATAATTGTAGATGTGTACTGTAGCGTATGGAACTGCCAAATATACTCTCACTCACTTATTGTCATACGAAAAATCGAATAAAGTTGAACGTCCATTTGTTTATATGCATATCCAGTAATTATAATTACCAGAGTGTATATTCTGAATAGCTTCAAGTTTCTCCTTTCCAGTCTCTTGTGACATTACTTGAATACGTTTATCATGATGTAAATCAGTTTCTGTTGTGAATTTACATCCAAGAACATACATTTCGCTGTTGAATATTAGATGACGAGAATATATTTGAACTGTAATCCCCCATATACACTTACATTCTCTGCATCCCAAGTGGAGTATAGGTCTGCCAGCTTCGAGGTTTAAGTTGCGAATTTATTATTTCTAGCCTTAGGCCAGAACTATCCTTTTATCCAGATTTGTAACTCGATGCTAAACTAAGTGACGTTTAGTAGTGCGATGGCCAAAAAATGATCTTATATCTCCTGAGTGGTTGGCTAGCACTCTGCTGATGTTACGCAAACGCACAATGCATGTATCTGCATAATTCAATTCTCCGAATAACATGAGAGTTATTTCTGAAAAATATGATGGAAAGAGTGTATCCTGTGTATATCCTTGTAAGAATTAGTGTTAGTAGATATGATGTTTCAATACAACTGTTTTTTGCTGTAGTCGTTTACTCTGAGCTCGATGGTTTAGCAGCGAAGCTTACATTGTCTTAGCAGACAACATCCTCAACGCATATGTAATTTGAAATAAACTTTTAAAATTATCCACGAGTTTATTAGTCATCTCTCCTGGTAGCCTTGAATGTAAGTGTTTATTTTTGTGTTTTTTCACCTTCTGATCCACTTATAGTGATTTCAATCGTTTCCTTCACCCGAAATATGACTTTTTGTGCATGGGATTACCTTCTTATGGATTGGTAAATTTTGTCCATTTCACTGTGTCTATTAACTGCCGATTGATCTGAATACCAGGCTTCTAGAAATTGCCCGACATCTTTAATGTATCTTCTGTCTACAAATCGTAGTAGATATTGTGTATCTTTCAACGACCAGTTTTTGCTCATGGATGCAAAGACGACGTCTACTTTCGCTAGTGTAGTGCTTTCCACAGTTGCGGAAATTTATCTTGCATATAGTGCTAATTTTGTCTCCTTTAACTGTTGTGTCGTTTGGTTGATCAAGAGCCATTTTAAGTGATTTTGTTGGTTTGTGGGCAATAGTGATTCGAATAGGTTTAAATGGTCTTGCATTGATTTCGAAGATGCCCTTTATATAAAGTAGGACAATTTTCTTTGGGCTATCATTGGGAGACTTTTGATTCGGCTGGTCGTGTTGAAGGAAGATGTCTTTTGATGAAGTTTTGTGGATAATCATTTTCCTAGAAGACGTTTATGAGATATTTAACTATAATTTTCCTCAAAGCAGAAGTGATAGAGTGACTTCCGGTTCTTTTGAATAATGTTTGTAGTAGTTACTAAGGGAGGGGAGAAATCGTTTTTTTCAAATTTTACTAAATATTATGTAGTTGGCCATGGCAAAGAAAGGGGCTGTACAACTTTCTTCTGAACACACATAATTGGCTTGTTCAAATGAATTCCAACTACCTCTGCTGTATGTATGTGAAAGTCGTACTCGTAGACCGTGTGAGAGGTTGGGTGAAATACGAGTGATAAATAACTTTAAAAGCTTTGTTGGAGTCTACCTAATGTTCATTATCGATGAGATGAGCTAGTATTGAGCTGCATACAACTTTATTTGGACCTTTGCCAAACTAAGATGGGAAGTGTTCAGAAATTCGTCGATAAACTTGCCTGATCGTGAGCCCAATGTAAATAGCTCCACACAAGCAGTTAAACTGGTAGATACACAAGAAAGAGGTGAAACAGGGCAGTCTGTCTTTATTTCTTGAACTGAGTATTGGTCGACTAGTGAATATACAGCATGACTTAGCTGCGTTGAAAGTCCTATCCTCCGTGAGTTATAATCTTAGGATGACTGATTTTTCGAGAACAGTCGCCACTTTCAATATCTTAATCTCAGAGTTCATGTGTCTGTTCACCAATAATTTAGTCGGATATCCGTTTCTACTTAGTAGATCACGAATATTGCCAAGTTCTTCGTTCAGTGTCTCATTTGAACAGATAACTCTAGCTCAGTGAACCAGACATCTAACCAGATTACGTTTGTATTGTGGAGGTACGATGCTCAGAAAGTGAGTACATCACCCAGTGGGAGCAGGTTTTATATGCAAACTTCTACATATTGTTCAATCTGCTCGTTTAGTCTTTAGGACGTTCACAAAGGGGATAGAGTCTTTTTCTTACTCATCCTTAATGAAACTTATGCTAGGATGTGCTTGCTTGAATTTATTCCTTAGCCTCACTTTCTTTCTTTGCAACTGTGAATGTGTCATCAACGTATAGGTAACAGAAATCAAGATTACATATTACATCTTTAAGAGGACCATTCTCTATTTTCGCCAGGAGTAAATCCGTTAGAATAGGCCCTCGTGGTGATCCAACGGCAACACCATCTGATTGTCTATACATTTCTTTATTGAAGAGAAAGTTTATGTTCATTGTACACCTTAAAATAAGTTCCTTTATGGAAGACACAGAAATTCTAATCTCTTTATCTTGCTCTATCAGTTCATTGCCTATGTAATCAATTGTTTTCATCAAAGGCACATTGGTGAATAAGGAAGATGCATATAGTGATATCATATATTTTTCCTTCACACTTAATTCCTAGATTATTTCTGCAAACTAAAAACTATCTTTTACTCTATTTTTCACAAGTTTCTTATGCAGCGTCTGTAAAAGTTCTACCAGCCATTTCGCAGGTGAATGGTATGATGAGCTATGTGTATAGAGGATTGGTCTAAGCAGCAAGCCGCTTTTGTGAATCTCTGGTAAGCCGTGTAACCTGGGTATCACAGCGCACACATGTTTTAGTGCTTCGTACAAAGCAGACGAAATTTGATCCTGATGTTTCTGCTTTTTTAACGAGTCTGTCAACTGTCTCTCAGTCCTCTCTGATGTATCTTTGTGGGCTGTTAGTTTCTGAAATTCACATGTACCACAGACCTTCATTAACAGTTGTCTTCGCTCAATACTCAAGATCAGATGGCCACAAAAGATCAGCAACAGAGATCTCTGGGAACAAACCAACCTGGAACCGATTGTGGAACAAATAGGCAGGAAGAAATGGAGATGGATTAGCCATAATCTGGTGAAATCATCAAGTGACATCGCTAGACAAGCCCTTGAGTGGAACCCAAGTCTCTGATCCGTATAGTGAGTAACACTGACTTCACATTGGAGTTGAAAACCCGCATCTTATTTTTGATGCTGAGTGCTGTTGACCGCCACACAGACTTGGGAGTAGTGAAAGCTTGTCTTGCTTTTCCGATTCTTGCTTTCATATCCTCGTCAGTTCCGTCCACCTGTAGTTGAAACGATGCTTCCCAGGTAGGTAAAGGAGATTGTTTCTTTCAGGTTCCTCCTATTTATGCTGATTGTTGTCTGTTGTTGTTGTTGCTGTTGGTGGTGTTGCCCAGGAATCTTAATCACCTCTGTTTTATCTATGTTCACCTGAAGTCCTAGCTTCTCTGGATGGTTCTTCTGCCAACTAGTTGCTTTTTGCTTGTATATCTTCCAGTTTGTGGGAAACCAGACATATATCATCGGTGAAGTCCAGAGCCTCCAAGTTTTTTGTGTGAGTCTATTTTATGCCTGTTTCCTCACTGTCCGCTGTTTGTCGCATTATTCCAACCATATCCATGGTCAAATTTCCATAACCAAGAGTTATGAATTTAGTACCACACATTATGAGGCAAATAACATAGATGCGAAATAAAGTGACGATGATCACACAGGAATTCTTAGTGCTGTTTGCGAGTGGCTTCCTCGTTTCCTTATTTCGTAATTTATTCAGATTAATGACTGTTTATAAAAAGTGAAACTAATGAAGAAGTTTCCTTAGC